TTCAAATCAGCACCAACACATGGAGGAGGCAGCAGCATCCACTCTACGAAGGCATAAGAGTAAAAGGAAGGCTGAGCAATAGACCATCTTAGGAGAAAGGGGTAAAGAACTGGACAAGGGTTGTATTTCCTGAACATCAGGTCATACCATATGAACTGAAGAGGCTTAGGACAGCAGAGTGTTTTAAGTGGGGAAACATGTAGCACGCTCCCTGCATGACAGGCTCAACTACAACTTGAATTTTACCTTAAAAATACAAACAATGTAATCTAATCATTTGTGCTCTGATATTAATCTGAAATAAAAAATAACTGGGGAAATAATAGTAGAAGCATTTAGTATATTGTCTTGGTACTCAACTCTTAGGGAAGCAGGATAAAATGACATTCAAGTGTTGCAACTAAACTCACATCACTCTGGCTGAACTTAACACTGAAGTTGTAGCAGTGTCTATTGCCCAGTGGGCCTCCTACTTCCTAATGTAAGAGAGGGCTCTGATGGGAAAAGGAGATATTGATGCTGTAGAGTCCTTGAAGGAGAGAATTTGCTGTAGCTGGGTCTCAGGGTCTGAGTTTATCAACAAAAGCCCACCCAAATCCTTCCCCCAAGGAATCTTCCCAGTTCATGGAAGGACCAGCTATGAAAGCAGAGGACATCTGGGGAAGGGATAGTTGTTTTCCATGGCACTTGTACTGCCTTTGCACTTCAGATACTGAGAGTTTGTGCCTTAATATGGAAAAATGATTCCCAAATAGGGGCAGGCTTGTGTAAGAGGGGTTCCCAGGACTCTTCAAACCCCTCCCATTTGAGAATCAGTGCATGTAAGGATAGGAATTTCTGACAGGAATGTGTTGTACATATGAACGGTGCCGGAGGAAGAACACTTCTAACCTGAGTTTGGCAGATAATAAAATGATGGAGTACATTTTTCCAATTTTTTTCTGATTAAGTTACAAATAATAGTTCTCCAAAAACAACAGTTTCGTCCACTTATCTGGAGTAACCATACTGTATTAATGAATACAATTCTCCTAAAGACAATTTCCAGAGAGACATTTAAAGATATCAGTGTGCTTGAAAAAGTTCCACATGAACAAGTTATAACTCTCTTGGTGATCTCAAGGAAAGCCCATATTGAAGGAATTCACATATTTACAGGACAGGTCCTCATTCTTACAGTATTGAATCAGCTTCTTATAGCAGCCAAGTGGGGTGCTCCCAGTGGGGACTCCCAGGTTGAAGTACTGTCTGGCCCTGGATTAAACTGAATGATGCAGTTCCTGATGCATTTGGCTGCCCACTCACTGGCCTGAGAACAGCAATCCAGCATGATAGCTTCAGCTTGTTGTGGACTCCTTCCGTGACTACTGCAGCTATGGAGCTATCTCATTATGGTATCAGAGTAATTCTAGCTTCCTAAAATAAGTTGGAAAGTATAGTTTCTTTTTCAATTTTCTGAAGATTGTGTAAAATTGGTGCAAATTCTACCTGACATATTTGGTAGAATTCTCTAGTGAATCTATCTGGGCCTCAAGATTTGGCAACTTTTCAATCATGAATTCAATTTTTTCAATGGTTATAAGGAGCTGATGTCATGTTGCAGATGAATAGTTGTATAGTTACAGCTATACCTTAAATGAAGAGAGGTAGAAAGTCTCATTCCTCATCAGAGTAAACTATCTGATAACATCCATGGTAGGTAGGAAGGTGCGCAGCATATGGCCTTGGGAGTACGTCCTCATGAAACCTTCCATGTGCTCATGTTCTAGGTGTATTACAGGACTTAGATCAGCCAGTGTTAAATCTTGGTATACGTGATTGGATACATATGAAAACATGCAAGTTGCCACAGAACTATGATAGTCTTTTCATGAAGAAAGAACTACTAAATAGAAAACAAAATGAGGACAGAAATGGACAAAATACCTTCTGTTAGAAGACAGAAAAGAGTAGTTCTTAAGTTCTTTATGGGCAGAGATATTACCTACTTTCTAGTTCATTTTTTATTCTTTAGTACCTTCTCTAATACAGTCAGTTTTGCTGAATTAATGAATGGTTGTAAATGCATGATTTGTTTAAATAAAGGAAAACTTATTTCTGGCAATAGGAATGTGAACGCTTTGTTCTCTAGTATTAAGTGCCAGGGGACTTTATTTTATGTTAATAATACAAAAGAACAAGTAGAAAGAACCAATTCTCAGAATCACTCACTCAACAGAAACTCTGCTAGATGCTCAGTATACCATAATATAGTTGTTTAGCTATAGTCTTTCAGCCTCATACCAGCCCTTCCCTTCCTGATCTTTAAGCAGGGTAGAGTGCCAATTGGAAGAACTGATTAAAAGGAGAGAGGAGCATGGTTAAAAGTTTTAATTTTAGTTAATATTACGGTATTGTGATGGTTAATTTTATGTATCATCTTTAGAGCCATGAGATATCCAGATATTTGGTCGAATGTTATTCTGAATATGTTTGCGAGAATCATAGATTAAGTAAGGCAGATTGCTCTCCCTAATGTGGGTGGCCTTCGTCTGATCAGTTGAAGGCATAAAGAGAACAAAAAGGCTGACCCTGCCTCAAGAGGTGCTCCCCCTGCCTAACTATCTTAAGTTGGAATATTGGTCTTTTCTGGTCTTCAGATTCAAACTGAGACAATGGCTTTTCTTGGGTCTTAAGCCTGCCAGTTTTTGGCCTAGAGCTCACATGATTGGGTTTCCTAAGTCTCTAGCATGTAGAAAGCAGAACTTGGAACCTAGTCTCCATAATCACACAAGCCAATTCCTTATAATATATATTAATATATGTACATGCACATATTATATATATAAATACATACACACACACACACACACACACACACACACACATATATACATAGACATTCTATTGGTTCTGTTTCTTTGGAGAATCCTAATATACATTCAGAAAGTTTGAAAACCATGCAATGAATTTTTACTGACTTAAGAATTTATTCAAACCAAGTAACCATATGGTTCATTACTCTAATACAAATAGCTACATTAGGATTTGTTAGATTTGATTCCCTGGATTCCCCAAAACCTTGAAGTACCAAGCTTTACAAAGTGGCATAAAAACAGGGACTTGTATAGATTTGTAAAGGATTTTCGATGACAACTAAATTCCTGATAAAATACATGGGGTAGGGCAAAATCATTATTTGTGAAAGGCAGTAAGAAATTCTTGCTATATGTGAATTCCAGAGCCTGAGACTGATATTATAAATATAGAAGAGATTGTTGATGTCAGATACCAAGTGAGAAATGTGAGTAGATGCAATGACGAAAGCATATTTCTGTAATAATGAGGAGTGAGAGACTAACAGATATTTGTCAGGAGAGTAGTAATTCTGAAATAATTTTGTAGAAACAACTCCACTTGATATACACATAATAAATGTTACTTATATATTGCTACCTTAAAAAAGTTTTCTCACTAGAATTAACTAGGGTAAAATTCTATCATGATGGATTAAAAGATGGTCTACAAAATATGTTTAGTGAAAAGTAGGTAGCCTGAAGAGGTAAATTAATAGTTAAAACTCTCACCATGAATAATTAAGAAGCTGTTACTACACACTGACTTCAAATATAAGAAGACCAAGACTATCGCACTAGTGATGGAGTTCTGACACCCTAAGGACGCTTGTTTTAAATATCTGGTACAAATCCACTGACCTGGAAAAAGTCTGAACTTAGCAGGGCTAAGTGTGTGTTGGGAAGCAGGGTAAGGAAAGATAGTGTTTATAGCTTTAGGAACAAAATTAGCAAAGGCAGAAAGTGAGATGCTGAGCATTAAATAATTTATCATTTTATTCTGAGTTGATAACTGACTTTTACAGTGCCTGTAAAGGAAGGTTTTCTCCTTTCTAAAAGTAGCAAACTTAGGAACAGGGAAATTATCACTAAAGAAAAGAATTCCAAGGATGGTACACATTCACAATGATTTAACAACAGAGAAGCTATTTAAGGCATTTGCACTAGAATTCCTCCTAGTCTGGTAAAGAAATATGGATTTCTTTCTATCACAACCCCATCCTCACTTCTGCTCTGCCAATCCCATGTACTTGGCAAAAAATGCACTGGAATGACGCACAATCTAGGACCTCAGAGAATGACACAAGCACAGACGGCCTTGGCAAGAAGTTCCTCAAAAATCTAGAAGATATTGGCTTTCCAGAGCTAAGAAGGTAATCTCACTGGTATACAAAAGAAATGTTTACTAGCACCTGTATACAAGGCACAGAGGGGAATATAGTATTTTTTTTTTTTTTTTTTTGAGGCAAAGTCTCACTTGGTCACCCTTGGTAGAGTGCCGTGGCATTAGTTCACAGCAACTGCCAACTCTTGGGCCTGAGCGATTCTCTTGTTTCAACCTCCCAAGTAGCTGAGACTACACGTGCCTGCCACAACACCAAGCTATTTTTTGTTGCAGTGTCACTGCTGTTTCAGCTGGCTGGGGCTGGGTTCGAATCCACTACCCTCGGTAGGCTGGTACCCTACCCACAGGTGCCACCCAGGGATATAGGATTTTGTGAATCTGATCAACTGTGGAGAGGATTCACAGTTAAAAACAATGGTCAGAGCAGCAGCCCCCAAATCCCTACTATTCACCTAGTAGACATCATAAAGGCCTGGTTGAGGGCATATAGCCAGTCTGGATGTCCACTGAATTCCAATAGGTGAGAAAAAAACATTTTAGGTCTACCTCTTCCAGACAACTCTCCCATAGGGGTTTTTGCCAATCATTTTTTTTTTTTTTTTTTTTTTTTTTGCCGTTTTTGGCTGGGGCTGGGTTTGAACCTGCCACCTCCAGCATATGAGGCCGGCGCCCTACCCTCTTGAGCCACAGGTGCTGCCCTCCAATCATTTTCTATAATGTAGAAGATAAATCATCCCAGTCAGCATCTATGTTTTCTAATATCTGATGATGTGTAGTGGTAAATAAAGCCTCAGTCTGTAATTTCTATACTCAGGGTAGCTTCAGTTCAATGAGAAATGAGCATCGACTTCCCCATGTACAGCATGGGTCATTGTGATAGAATTCCTTTTCCCAACATGGCTTTTCTGATGTTGAACAAGATAGGAAATTCGGGTGAAGCCTTTTCCACATGTGTCACACTGATAAGGTTTCTCACCATTGTGGATTTTTTGATGTTCAGTAAGTCCTGTATTCTGAGTGAAACTTCTCCCATGCTTACTACATTTATAGGACACAGGAGTTTCAACACTTTCCCACTGGCTTTCCATCCTACCCTGACTTTCCCAAACCTCTCCATGCTCAAGAGTCTGAACATTTTTATTGCCATGGATCCTCTGATGTCTCAGGAGATGTGAATTCCGTCTAAAGGATTTGCCACACATGTTACACTGGTATGGCTTCTCCCCAGTGTGGATTCTATGATGTTCAAGGAGGCTACAGCTCTGGCTGAAAGTCTTCCCACAGTTGTCGCACTCATAGGGCTTCTCCCCAGTGTGGGTTCTCTGGTGTTTGATAAGGTCTGAGCTGTGACTAAAGGCTTTGCCACATTCTTCACATTCATATGGCTTCTCACCAGTGTGGACTCTCTGATGAATGATGAGGGCAGAGCTCCCGATGAAGGCTTTGCCACACTCCTCACATTCGTAGGGTTTTTCTCCAGTGTGGATTCTCCTATGCTTACTCAGGCCTGAACTCTGAGCAAAACTCTTTCCACATTCATGGCAGACGTGCCGTCTCCCCGCTGTGGCAGTTTTCTGCTTTCTTTGCAGCTTGCCCTCCTGTTCACCAGCTTCAGCATATGTAGGAATCTGGGCAGTGTCTGCACCCAGGTGGCACAGTATCTGCTCAGGCTGTTTTGCTGGAAGCTCCTCAGCGGGAGGCAAGTCCCTGATTTTAGTCTCACCACCTGAAACAACAAATGGCCAGCAATTGTCAGTTATGTCCTGCCCTAGGAGAATTCTGATGAGTACCAGGGAGGCAAGAATTAGAGTCTACATATGCCAAGGATGAGGATTTGAATGCAAAAAAGATAGGAACAAGGGGGTGGATGGAAGGATTGCTGGGGAGGAGGAAGACCTGAGAATGGGAATGGGGCCATTGGAAGGGTACAGATTGGGAATGGAGGGGGTGAAAGGAAAGTGGTGAGCACTAAGAACTGAGTTGGTTATCCATGTGGTAGTTCTAACTCTAAGAACAGTGAAGCAGGACTATACAGCTAGGATTAGATGCTAAAACGGATTAGCAAAAGGTGATAGTAAATGGAGGATTTCTGAAGCAGTCTGCAAGAAACAGTGCAAGTAGAGACTCAGAAATTGGTCCTTGATCAATAATATAGGCATTTATCTCTAACTGGGCCCAGGCAAAAGCAGAATCTCCAAACAGAACTGGCTTCAGTGCTATGAGGTCTGAGCCAGAGCTCCTGTTGTGCCGCTAACAAGCTACAAGCACTCAGGCAAGTAAGGCAGTCTTCTGCCCCTCCACACCCTCATATTTGTGGGCAGGGTCCATAGTCAATACCTAAGGTCATTCTAGCTCCCATATTCTAACTCCATGGCCCATTTCCTCAAGAGGTTCCTCAGCTTTCCTCTTCTGTCAGGGCCAGGAGAGAGGAAATCAACATTTACTGAGCATCTATTATGACTCAGACCTGTACTAGGGCTGTGTCTGCCTCATTCCACTTAACCTGGCCAACACACTGGCAGGGCAAAGAAGAAAGCAAAGCCAGAAGGGGGAGGGAGCCAGTTATAATAATAACAGTCTTACAGGCTCCGTGAGATGGCTCATACCCATAATCTTAACACTCTGGGAGGCTGATGCACAAGGATCACTTGAGCTTAGGAGTTTGAGACCAACTTGAGCAAAAGTGGGCACTTGATAGTCCCAGCTACTCAGGAGGCTGAGGCAGGAGGATCACTTGAACTCAGGAGTTTGAGGTTTCTATAAGCTATGATGCCACAGCACTCTAGTGTAGGTTAAAAGAGTGAGACTGGGTCTCAAAAAAACAAATAAACACACAAACAAAAAAACAAGCAACAGGCTGTCAGAAATGATGATTCTAAATCCAAACAAAATGGGGCTTAATGGCCTCTAACAGTACAATAGATTCTAATACACAAAGAATACCAAGTCACCATAAGAGAAATTAGTGCCCGTCGTCTTACCCTGGGAGGCCAGGCTGCCACATTTTTCTTGCCTTTCATCTCTGTAGAGGTTCCCCTGAGATGAACCCTGCTGTGTCCACTCAGGGGTGAGGGTCAGGGCCATATCTTCCATTTTTAGCAACATCTAAAACAACAGAAAATACCACTGAAAAGGGGGAAATCTGGGAAGCAGAGACAGATCCTCAAGCTTAATAAAATAAGAAAAAACTCTTAAATGGGCACCTAAATGGGATAAACAACTTTGAGATACATGAGAAAACTCAAATCCCATACAACAATGTGTGCAGGATCTAGGATGAAGGAAGTGGGGAGTCAGGGGTAGGAGGAGAAGGCTTCACAGGAAGCGTTACAGTAGTAAATGGCATTGGGGACAGGAGAGAGGGGCTTCAGCTCACCTGCGACTCAGGAGTGAGCCTGGCAGCTACGTCTGTGTCTTCTCTGCAGTGCCCTCCTTGAGCAAACCCAGGAACCTGGAAAACTAAGAAAGAAGCTCTGGATGAGATCTACCCTGGCATTTAGCTTCCATGCCTTATGGAATTGCAGTTTAAAAACTGGATTAATAGACATGAAGGCTGTGTTGACCAGTTTGATGGAAGTAGTTCGGATTGCATGTGAAAACCCCACACTGTACCCCAGAAGTGCATTAATGTACATAGTTACCATTCAATAAATAAATAAATAAATAAACTGGATTAATAAATTCCTGCCAAATAAATTTAGACAGAGGGTGTTCCTCTCCAAAATACCAGTTTCTGGTGAACCCAGCCTGGGCCTGCTAAAAAAAAAAAAAATACCAGCTTCCTAATGTGCCAATCCTAGGGCCTAAAGACATGGTGTGCTCTATAGATATACAAAAGCCACGCAAAGAGGCAGGATACTTGTTAGGGATGGTAAAATGAAGGGAACATAGGGTGGCACCTGTGGCTCAAAGGAGTAGGGTGCTGGCCCCAAATGCTAGAGGTGGCGGGTTCAAACCCAGCCCCAGCCAAAAACTGCAAAAAGAAAAAAACAAATAAAAAAAAATCAAGGAACATAAAAACAAAACAAAAACGCTTTTCATTGAAAATTCTTTGCATTTTTCTGGGGAAGTGGAAAAACAGAGTTTTTGGTTACTACATCCTCAGTAGCTAGTAGGGTGCTTTCTGCTTTGATGTGAAAAGTAAAGAGGAATAGACAAGGCTGGGTCTAGAAAGACAGAACTAGGAGTCTGGTAACACAGAACTCGTTCAGATTCAAGAGAGAGAAAAGTAAAAGAACTTCAGATTTCCTTATAGAAAGCAAACTTAAAACGGGGCACAAAACAGGCCAGAACGTTCAGGCCAGAACTTCTGTTAACAAATAAAAATTGAATGTTGGCTGGAGTATCACAGTGTTATGTGTCTTGAGAATCTGCTCAGGAATCACAGTGTTATGTGTCTTGAGAATACATGCTCAGGTCACAAGAAAGGACACCTCAGAACACAAAGCCATTTCCTATGGAGTGAATCTCATGTTATTTTAAGAAGGGTCTTCTTTTAGAAGATCTACACCCTTTATTTTGCACTAGTTCTACAACTTGTGAGATAGCCTAGCTGACTTTACGAATTCTGTTTATTTTCTTCATAGGACTTACCACTATGTGAAATTATATTATTGATGTGTTTATCTGCCATCTTCCTCTCTAGAAAATGAGTTCCAGTGGAGCAAGGTCAGTCATGCTGACAGCACTATTCTTAGTGTCAACAACACTGACTAACACATTGGGAGCCTCCTTAATTATGTGTTAAATGAATGGAGAACCAATTCTTTCAAAACCCAAATTTTAGTGAAATATTATTTACTATGTCTCATCTTGGCTAGGAAAGCCTTCCACCATTGTTTGCATTTTCCCCTTTAGTGTCAGTCTTAAATTAGACTTGATCTCTGATGGGCCTATAAAGCAACTATAGGCAATTAATTAAGGTCCCCACTAATCTTTTAGGGAATCCTTAAATGAAATTGATGAAGTCTATAGAATTCATACTGCTAAGAAGATAATCCTCACCTCTGTCTTCTAAGGGCTGGTATCCCAAAGATTCATGCTTGAGCAGAGCCTTCATTGGCTGAAATTGGCTGCTTTGTGCCCCCTGGGCTGGTGTCAATAGTGTCATCTTGCAACAGAGCAGTTCTTGCCCCTCATCACCATCTGGGACCTAGAAGTTATTTATTTTTATGTTCATGTATTCATCAAACACTTCTATAACACTGTGTGTCTGGCACTATTTCAAAGAGAATTATAAATATTAATTCATTTGATGTGGGCAACTACGTTAAGGGGAAGATATCATTATTATGCCCAATTTATGATGGAGGAACTAAGACATGGCCAGTTTAAGCAGCTATTAAGTGGCAATGCTAGGATGTAAGCTCAGGTGGAATGGCTCCAGAGCCCATATTCTTAACTATTAATCTATCTTCCCTCATATATGCATTTGTGCTTTCATGATGACTTTGGAAAATGGTGCTTAGTGCTCAAAAAACACTAATATCGTTTCTTCTATGAAAATGAGGATAATAATTTCTAGCTTATGGGGTTTTGGAGAACAATAAATAAGATCACAGTATGTGAAATTACCTAACACAGGACCTGGCACATGGTATGTCCTCATTACATCCAGGTTTCCTTCTAGTGAAATTACAATTTTCAAGTTACTTTCTCATATGCAGCTCAAAATTTTCCACATCCTTCATCAAGAGTGAAGCTAAAAGACTTGCAATACTGTTACAAGGTTCAGGTACAAGAGACTCAAGTCAAGAACCTTGGTTTCGGGGAGGGGGGGTGGGATGGGTGGGTGGAGGGAGGGTAATTGGTGGGATCACCTCTATGGTTTATCTTACAAGAGTGCAAGTGAATCTTTCTAAAAGTAGAATATAAATGTCTTAATATAATAACTAAGAAAATGACATGAAGGTTATGTTAATCAGATTGATGAAAATATTTCAAATTGTATATGAAAACACCACACTGTACCCCATGATTGCATTAATGTACCCAGCTATGATTTAATTTAAAAAAAAAAAAAGAACCTTGGTTTCCTCATCACTGGTTAGAAGGCCCTGGCCACATATCTTCTGAGGGTATATGCACAAGAACACAGGATGATGCAAAGAAGAAACACTTTCATATGATAGGGGGAAAGATACAGGTGAAAATCAGCCCATTTTCTACCAGAGGTCCATAACCAGTGATCCATGGACTTCTTCCCAAGTGGTCAATGAACTTGGTAAGAAAAAATTATTCTTATTTTTACTGGCATTCAGCATTTCCTTCCATTATGAATAGAAGCAACCAACCAATGTGGCATAAGCAGCACCCAGGACTTTGTCCCCATTAGAAACTGTAAATGTTTTCACATCACATTACAACCAGGTAAACACAGTCAGTCATTCACTTAAAATTGCCAGTTATTTAGCCCTGTCCCCAGGTCTTACTATTTAGTGCACTAATATAAAAGCATATATACAACTTTATCACATTTGTTTAATACTTTGCTAACTGTATTTCAATATAATTGAGTTTTTTTGGTAATCCTTTCTATTTTTCTTTATGTATTTAAAAATAGTATTATGAGAAGGAGTCCAGTGACTTTACTTTGCTGCCACAGAGGTTTACAGTACAGAGATCAAGAATTCCTGGATCCTAATCTTGATCTTAAGATTTGATCCTGATCCTGACCTTAAGATTTCAGGAAGAAACAGATCACAGCTCTCAGATACTAAACCTGTTCTTTCTACCTGTGGCATCGGCTCCTCCAGCTGCTTCTCCAAATACTCCAACAGCACCACCACCTCCTCCCCGCTCTCCGGATGCTGCTCCCGCACCCAGCTCTGCAGGTCCCCCGGCAGGATGGTCAGGAACTGCTCCAGCACCAGCAGCTCCAGGATCTGCTCCTTGCTGTGCATCTCAGGCTGTAGCCACTGTTGGCAGAGCTCTCTGAGCCGGCTCAGTGCCTCATGGGGCCCCGGAGCCTCCAAGTAGCGGAAGCCTCGGAAACGCTGGCGGAAACACTCTAAGGCCAAAGCAGGGCTGCCAGGTGAACTGGCCTCTTCCTCTTCCACCTTAATGACCAGAAGCCCCATCCGGTCCTCTGCAGATTGGGTGTCCAGAGCTGTGCTTTCTCTAGCCATCCTGAGCCAAGGCAGTACACGGGCTTCCCTTTAGCAATAAGCTATATGTCTGCAGAAGATCCTGAAAGGTGGAAAATCATTATTAACCAGTAAAGTTGCAAGTGGCCCCCTCCTCTCATACCCAAGAGCTGGGTATATCTCCAGAGAGCAGCTGCAGAGATTTCTTCTCCATGTTCAAGTGCCTCTGCAGCTTCATCCTCCCAACACCCCAAAACTGAATCCCACAGTAAGCTTCCCAAAGGATGTGAGGCAAATTGTTACACAACAATAGGAAAAGTGATAAGTTGGCTCTGTGGGTTCCTTATCTACAGTTTCAATCAGGGATTGAAAATATTTGAAAACAACAAAAGGTAACAATAAAAAACAATACAAATAAAAAATAAAACAAATATTTACAATCTGGCTTTACAATATTTACAATGCATATACGCTGAAGCCAGATTTTCTGGGCTCATCGCCTTGACTTTACTGCCTACTATTAGGGTGATCTTGGTAAATTACACATCTCTGTGCCTCACTTTCCTCATCTGTAATAGAGATAGTGACAGAAAATAGGGGTGTTGTAAGCATTAAGGAAGTGTGTATGAAGTTTTTATAACAGCACCTGGCAAATGGTGAGTATTCTAAATGTCAGCTAATAGTATGATTCACTCGTCTTTGTCCTTTTAAGTAAGAATAGGTACTGGTGTTCTGTTCTTTGCCTTTTCTTTTCTCTCTTCACATTCTTCCCCAGAAATATCTGTAATCACTTGCAAGATTTTAATTCTTCTATCTAGGCTGAAAACTCCTGATCCCTATTCTGAGCTGCCTCCCAGATAGTACGATATGGAAATCTTACAAACAAACCCAATCAAATATGCCCAAACCAAGCTGATTTTCTTGCCTCCTAATCTATTCCTTCCACAGTATGGGATCCTCTAGAAACAGCAGCACTACTCACCAGGTTTCCTCAGCATTATCTTTGCCTTCTCACTCAGGTACCACACCAGATCATCTGGTCCAGCCTATCGCTCAGATCTATTCCCTTTTCTCTGCTTTCCCTATTATTACCAAGGTCCAGGCCCTTATGACTGTCCCTAGCCTACTAGGTGCTTTCTATCCTCCCTGCTTCCTATCCCATCATCCAGACCACCACTAGAGAGCTTTCTATTATTGTTGTTATTATTATTATTTGAAATGGTCTCTCTCTGTTGTCTGGGCTAGAGTGCCATGGCATCATCCTAGCTCAAAGCAACCTCAAACTCCCAGCTTCAAGCCATCTTCCAGCCTCAGGGTCCTGAGTAGTTAGGACTAAAGGTGCCCACCACATTTGGCTAATTTTTCTACTTTTAGTAGAAACAAGGGGTCTTGCTCTTGCTCAGGCTGGCCTCAGCCTCCCAGAGTGCTAGGATTATAGGCAACTACCACCTACCTGGGCAAGAAAGCTTTGTTGAAAATACCTAGTCAAGTCATTACTCTGCCCTTCCACTTTGGCTAAAGCATCAGTTTCTACTCTATGCCCACCACTGGTCCTGTTCCCACGAATTGGTACCTAAACTATGGGACTGTCACATATGGTCAGACATGTTGTGCTGTGTTCAAAGTATCTAACCAAAGGGGCCAGTGGGAGCTCAGGCAGACTCACAAACTTGTGTACTCCAAACAGTGCCCAACCAACAGAAACATCTGTTTTATAATGGGCATAATGTTTCCCTGAATTTGCAAAAAGAGGTCAGCAGTTTCCCTGCCAACCTATTTAGTATACTGTTAATATATACTTGTATAAATGTTTCCACATCTCTGCAGTATAAACAGCACTTGAGCTTTAAAGCCCAACTTAAATGTCCTCTCCTTTTTAGAACCTTTTGCAATCCTTGTAAGCAGAATGAACTGTCTCCTCCCATGACGTTTCCTTTCTTCTTTGCAAAATAAGTAAGATAGCTTGGGGAAGAGCACAATGAAAGTGCACAATATTGCTTATGGGCAGTTATTTGAATCTGTGGGTTGATGTCTTTTATTAGTTTAGAATATGCTTGTATATTTTCATTTCTGATATCTATTCTTCCCCAAGTTCTCTCTACTTTCCTTTTAATCACATCTCCCTTGTCTTTTTTTATTTTTTAGAGACAGAGTCTCACTTTGTCATCTTTGGTAGAGTGCTGTGGCATCACAGCTCACAGCAACCTCCAGCTCTTGGGTTTAGGCAATTCTCTTGCCTCAGCCTCTTAAGTAGCTGGGACTACAGGTGCCCACCACAATGTCTGGCTATTTTTTTGTTGCAGTTTGGCCAGGGCTGAGTTTGAACCTGCCATTCTTGGTATACGGGGCCGGCACCCTACCCACTAAGCCACAGGTGCTGCCCTCCCTTGTCTTCTTAATTTTAAAATAATAAGAGAGTACAAATGTTTTCTTACACAGATACCTTGTACGATGCCAGGGCTCCCTTGTATTTTAATGTTCCTAAATTTTCCAGCGTTGTTCACTCTGTGCTTTTGTTGGCATGTTTGTTCTTGAACCACCTCTAATTTAGTATTCTAGCCTTTTGCTGAATTTAATCTCTTCTTAATTTCTTTTCTTTCTTTCCCTTCTTTCTTCCTTTCTTTTTTCTTTCTTTCTTTTTTTTTTTTTTTTTTTGAGATAGGGTCTCATTCTGTCACCCAGACTGGAATATAATATTATCATAAATAACTCATAGCAACCTGGAATTTTTGAGCTCAAGTAACCCTCCTGCTTCAGCCTCTCAAGTAGCTGGAACAACAGGTGCACACCACCATACAAGGCTAATTTTTCCAATTTTTTCTAGAGACAGGGGTCTTGCTCTTGCTGGGGTTGGTCTCAAACCTCCTGGCCCCAAGCAATCTTCCTGCCTCTGCCTTTTATATTGCTAAGATTATAGGCACTAGCCAGGAAGCCCAGCTAATCTCTTCTTAATTTCAGTTCTAAATGAAAAGTTCAATAAATAAGATTTTTTTTTGAGAGAGTCTCACTTTCTTGCCCCTAGTAGAGTGCCATGGCATCACAGCTCACAGCAACCTATGATGCTAAACTCTAGGGTTCAAGTGATTTTCTTGCCTCAGTCTCCCAAGTAGATGGGATCACAGACACTTGCCACAATCCCCAGCTATTTTTAGAGACAGAATCTTGCTGTGCTCACGCTGGTCTGGAACTTCTGAGCTCAAGGGATCCACCCTCCTCAGCCTCCCAGAGTGCTAGGATTACAGGAGTGAGCCACCTCGCCCAGCCATACAATAAATAGATTTAATTAAAAACAGAACAGCTTCACCAAAAAGAAAAAAAAAGTGCTCCATAAACTCCATATTAGAAAAAAAATTATATTTGCATATCCATGTTCTCTATCAAAAAATTGTCTATCTTGCTGGACTGAGTTCCCTGAAAACAGCTCTGTCCTTAGCTTATACATTTTGTATTCTCCGGTTCCTAATACATAGCAAACACAAAATAAGTTTGTTGTTGTTATTTTAAATGAAAGGATGAGTGAATAGAGAAGTATTAGGTAAACAGTTATCGCAGCAAAGCCTTGTTCAACTTCAGTACTGTTGACAAAAAAATGTATGTTATGTGGAACAATGGAAGTTGTCCTGTAAGTTTTAGGATGTTTAACAACACTCCTAGCCTCTACCCTCTAGATGCCAGTAGCATACTCCCCACCCCCAGTCCTGACAATCAAAAAACATCTCCAGACATTGCTAAATTCTTACTTTGAGGGCTTAAAACCAGCTGTAAAGAGCAAAAATATGATGTTCTGAATTACAAAACCAGTGAAGTCTCAGTATGATATGGTTTTTGGGAATTTAGGGGCCAGAGGAGGGGGTTACCTAGCAAGGGCAAAGGTTATTTCAGGGAATAAAGGCAGGCATCAATAGGAATGCCTAAAGTTTTCCACAGTTGGACCCTAGGTGGCAGACAGTTGGGCAGACAGGGGATGGGAGTAGACATTCCCTGCAGATGTGCCTGGGGAGGTACACACGGTGTCTCAATGAGGAGTAAAGAAGAAACCCCGCCTCTTCTTTACTATGGAGTCTCAGAAGTTAAAAGGCTGCAGAAATAAGTTGCAAATGGGCATTCAGAAATTGCCAAATGGATAAGTGATGCCAGAACCACACTCACAAATTACTACATGTCTTAGTTAGAACATGGGCTCTGGAGAGCCTGTATTCAAATCTCTGCCACTATTAGCTGTGACCTTGGACTGAATTACTTCTTAGTTACTCAGCACCTCAGTTTCTCCAGATTATTTCTTCTCTTGAAAGGTGTTCCCAGAAACCAAGAAACCTGGGCTTGTCCTAAGATGAAAGGGAGACCTGAAATTTCTTTGAATCAGATAGGATCAGATTTTAAACCAAAGTGACTACAAAGTTCTTTGACTAGGCTGAGATGTCAGTAAGTCCCTCTTCACTCAGTGGAATGGAGAGGCTAGAAAATGTAAGGGTGGTAAAGGTTACAAAGGAAAAAACAATTCCAGGTCTTTCTGAGTTTTTATTCTTCAATTCAACTCTCTACAGTTCAAAGGATTCTAGGAAACAAGTGGAATTTAGGACACTGAGAAACCCAATCTATTTTTACAAATGAAAAGTACCAGAAAATAATTCCGCTTAAAGAGCTGCTGTAAGAAATCTGGGGCACTGCTACATGAGCTAATATTAACAAAATGAGTGAACCTAAATCTAACCAAATCTTTAGATCCAAATACCAGTGTACAGGTGAAATACAGAAGGAAATTACACTGAAGGTTTTCAAACTTTGCTATACATTAGAATCACTGGGAAGCTTTTAAAACATTCTGATACCTTGACTGCAAGCAAATTCAATGAAATCAGTCTTTTGGGAGTGGGACTCAGACATCAACTTTTTTTTTTTTTTTTTTTTTTTTGAGATGGAGCCTCAAGCTGTCTCCCTGGGTAGAGTGCCATGGCATCATGCTCACAGCAACCTCCAACTCCTGGGCTCAAGCGAGTCTCCTGCCTCCGCCTCCCAAGTAGCTGGGACTACAGGCGCCCGCC